GAAGATCCAATGATGGCCCAGTTTTTGTTTCCTGGCAGAGGCAGCCAAATTTTTATTTAAAATGTCCTGGTATTTTACAAAGTCCAAAACGTCATGTACCCTAAGAAGATTTCCAGGTCCTTTGGAGGAAAAACAGCCCCACAACATCACAGAACCTCCACCATATTTTGCATTTGGGATAAGGTTCATTTCATTATAGCCATCCTTCTTTTTACACCAAACCCACCTTATGTTTATTGCCAAAAAGCTCCATTTTTGTTTCATCAGACTATTGAATTTGGCTCCAATCAAAGTTATAGTAGTGTTTTGCAAACTCCAGGTGCTTACGTTTGTGGTTAACTGACAAAAAAAAACAGCTTTTTCTGGGGCGTATTGGTTTTTTCAGAGATGTGGTAACTCCAGTAATTCACCAACAGTGAACCTCTCTTATGATCCTCCTCACTGTACAGTACGTGGGGGAAAAATAAACTTGGGTCCTCTTCCAGGCAGGTTTGTAACAGTTCCAATTGTTGTCCACTTTTTAATTATTGCCCTAACAGTAGAAATTGGCATTTTAAGGCGAGTAGCTATTTTTTAATACCCATCCCTGACTTATGAAGGTCAGCACACTTCTCCCTCATTTGGTTTGTATGTTCTCTTACCTTTCCCATGTTGATGGATGACTAAGGGAATTTGGGTTCTGTGTCGCCTCATGTTTGTATCCCTGTTAACCAGGACGTCATGGATTACAGCTTGAAGGTTCCTCTTCACTCCACTCAACTCAAAGATGTACAATTTACATGGGAAACATGCTTCAGTTACATTGTGTTCACTATAATTTCCAGGGGTGCCAATAATCGTGGCACATGTGTTTTTGTTAATGACAATTATTTCTTGATGAAGGATTTTTTTTTCTTGGAATAAATTTATGTTAATAAAAGGTTGGATTTTTCTCAATTTTTCAGTGTGACATGAAGCTGCTTCACCAAAAGGTGGATTTTTTCTAACCCTTTTTACAAATCTTTACAAGGGGGGCCAATAATTGAGGGCGCTGTATATATTGTTAGACTGAATTACTTATGATGTCGCGCACTGCTCAACAGCGACATCAGGTGGTGGCTGGCCCCACCCGCCCCTAATGTAGTGTCGCCACAGCGGGGTATAAAATTTATACCCGCATTAAATATAAAAAAAGAAAGAAAATGCACATATAGAATACGAACATTTGATGGCCTCTACTGCCTAAACAGCTTACTTATCTAGTTTTTGTCATTGACAATTAAAACGATTTCAAAGAGGTGTCTCTTTTTACAAGAGTACTTGTTCAATTTTCTTCTTACACAAAGAAGAAAAATATAAAACCCAGGAAGGATCCTACAAGCATACAGATGTTTCACAGACACAAATATATTCTCAGTCCCTGCAAACTCTCAGACTCACACTTCAAAAATGAGTGCACAGTTCAGAGCAGGAATATCTTTGATCCTTAATGGGAGGGGGGCAGACCATGGCACTGCCAGATGATGTAATGATAGCAAATATGTCATTGACAATTTGGACAATTTAGAGATGCTGATTCAACCGGCTGCTTTGAACTGGGAGAGGAAACTGGAGTACAACGCATGCGAAGGCCATATGAACATACGATCTCCACACTCACAGAGCTGGGCTGGCATGTGAGCCTCCCGTTCTGGAAGCCTATGGCAATAGCGCCTCCCACTGTCCCATGCAGGTGATGGCATTGCCTTTCTCAGCCCTCCTTCAGGAAAAAGGCTTTGCAGAGACTTTTCAAGGGGCAGGTGTTCGATTGGCGGGTGGTTGGGGGAGAGGTGGGGGTGGTAGGGAGTAGTGGTAAATTTTGCTGACCTGGGGAAGTCCTCCTCAGTACATTTAGCTGACCGGGGTAGGTCCCGAGCAGGAGGGACTGCAAATATTCAGGTTGTGTTTTGCTGTTGTTGATCAAAAAGGGCGACTGAGGTCCCCCCCCACACGAAAAACAAACACAATATTACTGGTGTCATCTGGACTGGGCAGAAGGCCAGTACCAGCTTTGCCGTCTCTGCAGTTGATTTTTATATGAAATGTGACAGCGGTCTTTTCTTGCTTTTACAACATTAAACCTATTTCGTTAATGCACCTCTATTAAATTATTACGGTAAGATTTTGTGTTATTTTGTTCCCATAGTCCTATTTAATAAAATTCCCACTGTGATATAATTTGAGGCAAATTTTCATCAAAGTGGAACTAGACATTAGTTCCCTGAATTAATGGAGTGAATATGCATACCTATTTATGTTGGTTATGATACAGAAATTGTCTCAACCAAAATTTTTCACAAAACACAAATTTTAATTGTTATCTCTGATAAAACATAAAGTCCTATATGTTTGACCATTTGGATATGTGTGTGTTGACCAACACATATTATTTATTGTTAAAAGTTTACATAGTTAAATTTACTCTTGTCCATGTTCAAGACAATACGAAATTCTGAAATACGCACTGCACCCATATTTAACCACACAGCACATTTTGAGTCTTAATACGATGCAGGCACCTTAAAAAAAATACATTTTGAGAACATGACTGTCAGTGTTAGATTCTGTTTCCCTGTTTCTTACTACAGTGGTACCTCAGTTCTCGAACTCATTAGAACGCAAATTTCTTAAAAGTCCAACCAACCAGTTCGAAAAAAAAAAAAATGACCTAGAACTCGATCTGAATCTCAGAAGTCAAACTGTGAACTTGTACACGCAATGAGTCACGCAGCACGTCTCTCAGCGGAAACAAAGGGTAAGGCTTCAGTCTCAACCTCGCATTCGCTGTGATAGCATCCTGCATGTTTACACTAGCTGAGTACATATATTTAGACAGTAAAAATACATTTAGACAATGATAGACAGTAATAGTATTATTATTATTATATAATAAAATGCATTTAAAAATAAAGATTTCTTATTAATTATTTTAATATCATTAATAATAAACCGTTAATACATTTAATTATAATAAGATTATAATAAGATTGTCCTGCGGAGCTGGGACAGAACAGAGACAAAGGCGCAGACGTCAGGATATCGGGGAATACGGGGTTTAATTACAGGTAAGGCAGGCAAAAGGTAGACGGACAATACAATGACCGGACTGGGGAAACAAACTGAAACGCGGAATAAATACAGAGGACTAATGACAACAACCAGAAACAGCTGATCACACGGGGATTCTACACGGGGTTAACGAAGGGGCGTGGCACACGGAAGGAGCGGACAATCGGGGCAGAACACATTGTTTGGATACATTTATTTTCTTACTCTACAAATTACTGTTTTGATAAATGTGCTTAGATGTGTTTAGTACAGTATATGCTCTTTTTATTTTATCCTGTTCATTTTGTGTTTAAATGCTAAAAAAAAAAAAGTTTAATGTTTGGGGGCCGGGAACCAATTAATTGGTTCTCCATTATTTCTTATTGGGGAAATTCGATCAGAACTCGAACTTTTCGGATGCGAACCCGAGTTCTGAACGGATTAAGTTCGAGAACTGAGGTACCACTGTACTTAGTTTCTGTGCCCTGTTTTCCCAGTCTTTGTTAATTAGCCTCACCTGCCCAGTGTTAGTCTCGTTACCCATTAGTCCCTGCTTCTGTCCAGTTCCCCAGTGGTTCATTGTTTGAGATTCTCAGTGTTAGATGTGTATTCTGCTTACCTGCCCTGTTTTGTTATTAATCCTGTTTATTCCCATTTACTTTTGACCCCTCGTGGTCCTTTGTTTTGTTAGTGTTTTCTTGTGTTTTAGTTCGTTTAATAAACCCCGTTTTTATCCTTGGAGCCGCAAGTGGGTCGTCCACCATTTGTGCCTGCACCATGCCTCGTCCCCGCCCCAAACCCGCCCGAGTCCATGACAGTAACGATCGAGCACACGCTGCAATTCACGCCGCCGTCAAGTTTATTTTTATCCATAACTAAACTTCTAGATGGATGTTTTAAGCACCGCCCAAAGCTCTGTGCCCCATAAATAACACGTGTGCTTCACACACCTCCTAAATAAGTAAATAAAGCTTCCTTCCATCTCTGCTGCACCTCCTCTTCCAATAATTTTTGTCCCTATAGCAACTCGAGGCTGCAAGTATGCGGAAGCTATAGAACGGTTACGTATACACATATGTATAAGACATTTATGATTTATTTTCCATCACTGGGTCAAATATAACTACACCTCAGTTGCTGCTTCAGTTTAAAAGTAACGTTTCGTGCGCTGTCTTAAAAAATTTGGGAGTAAATTCCCACAAGATGCTTGCCACGTACCGTGCAGCTGTAAAGACTTGTGTTCTAAAGGTTTTAGTAGTTTATGCAGAAGGTGAGACATGGGAAGCGTTTTAAAGCAGCTCTCGGCGTTCAGGGCTGGGCTCCCGGGCGCGCAGCCGCGGGGGCTTCGCTGGAAGGAATGATTTCATATGGATATGGTAGAAAAAAATCCGTTTTTGGGCTAAATCCCATCAAAAATGCGAAGCTTTTCAAATAAAAAGAAACATAAAAACCGTCTATTTAATGCCGATAGTCACAATATACGCGTAGGTCACAGTATATAGCCTATGTTAAGCTATTATGATGATATGCTGAAAGTGAGTACGGTGGAAGTTCGCGTTCAACAGGTTAGAAATATTTTTAAGAAAACAAAATCAATATAAACAATTCATTCATTCATTTTCCAAACCACTTATCCATCTGTGTCGCGGAGTACAATTATAATTTAACTGTAATTTAATTTAATACTGATGACCGTATACATACAGGCATCCAACTTTGACTTAAAACTATGTAGGAAATACATAGAAACTTCAGTCGATGTCTCATACCAAATACCATGATATTCTGATCGGTAAAACGACTATGGAAAAGAAAGATATAATCATTATGCGCATGTGTTTGTGTAGTAAATACATTTCGGAAACTGAGAAGGGGAGAAAAAGACGGGTAAAGGGAGGGGAGGAACTAGGGAGGAGGGGGAACTGAGGGGGGTGGCACAGTAAAAACCTCAGAAGTGTCCCGGTAGTTAAATACTCAGGCAAGCAATACGACGCATACTTGTTTGAAATAATGAAAAGGACGGATCATTGAGAGCATTTATACTTAGGGGGAAGCATCCTGTGTTGACGAGGGGGAAAGAGGACAATTGATCAACCACGTGAAGTATATATATATCTTTAAAAAAATAACATCGTAAGTGTTTTTTTTATTTATATATATATATATATATATATATAACTATATATTTCACCACATGTAAAGCACTGAGATCGGGCAGTAAACATTGTATATTTATGTCACGCGAATGGAAACAATGGCGACCCGCAAACACGTGGCACGCCTTGAACTGCCTAAAAGTGTGACTTTCTACCGCGTTTTCTTTGTCTCTTTGGTATGGCCTGTGTCACTTTGCTAAGTCAGCCGCATTCTCAAGCCCGGACAGATGTCATACATGTTTTAAATCGCTTACTCTTTCCTAATCTGTAAAACGGGCTTTATTCGGTGCCCCCCGCGGCACTCTGCCAGGCGTATAGGCGAGATCAGGCATTTATTACAACTATCGAGCAACTCTTTTGATGTACTTAGGCCATTGATTTAAATTGCCGGCAGTATTTCAGCTGATTAAAATATAAATCGGCTTTAATTAAACATCTAAAGAGCACATGATGAGCTTATACTTTGGCCAAAGTGTTCAGACATCAGTCCCAAATCTATACTATACTGTATACTTTACGTTGAATGTTAGTTCACGAATTGAAACCATCAATGGATGTTACATTGCTTAATAACGAGCCTAATCAGCAACTAAAACTTATGGTTAACTAATAGTAGGTTTTTTTTTTTATGCATTTGAAGTTGGAGAAAATAGCTATTATAAACGTAGTGTGGTCGATAGTGTAGTTTAATGATTGCTGAGCAGTCGTGATATTACTATAAAAAAATCTAAATCCAGTTTTGACTGTTGCTTAACAATACTCATATAGGCCTACTGTATAGATATACCCTGCCAGTGATGAGTTTAATGATGTATTATTTGGTGTTTAAGATGCCTCCGTTTTTTGCAGTCCAAAACAAAAACAACAGCTGCTATTGTTTAAGAACGTGTCCAGCTGATTTCTTGCAGGCGGGGTTAAGTGGTGGTGTACCCTTAAATGACATGGGTATGTTTGAGGTTTCACACGCAGCAGGACGTCCATCCGCCCCCGGCCGGCGTCATCTGCATTTCAGATACAAGAAACTCGAAATTTAATTAAAGGGGCTCCGAGCCCCCTGAAGTGGAGAAGGTATTACGTAACGAGCGTTAATTAACTTGAAGTATGTACGCGTTGAGTGTTGTGGGGGTGTCTGCTTACTCTCTATTTATTATTATTTAGTAGGCTTAACTGTTCCGTGACGAGGGCTGGGGGACCTTTCGATGACATTTTGGCTGCAGCGTGCGATGAGGGTGACAGTGTCTGAGTGATCCGAGACCAAACGTCATAAATCACTTATGTATTTTGTGACCGCAGGCTTTACGTGCGTTCCGCTACGCACGCTTTGTTCTGTAGTGGCCTGAAAGAACCCCTAAAAAAAGTGTCGAAAATGGTCATTGTCACCATGCAAGAAAATCGTGAAGCCCGATTATTCGAATGATTAGCAAACTGACGAAGCGTGCGTGTTCGTTTCGCAATCGGCGATATTTGTTATTCCTCCGCCAAGGTTAACATCTTACCATGAAGAATTCTCAGCTCTTCGCTAATCTTTACGTATACCTCTTGGTTTTAATCAGCCACACTCACGACATGGGGGAAGGTTTTGCGAACGCACAGACGTGACTATTCTGCCGAAGCCGGGCTTGAACCTGCAACCTTCCGATTATAGGGACAGAGGCGCAGCTTGCTGAGCCATACACTACCAGACTGATGATACTGCAGTGATAGTTCCTAACTGTGGTGTATGTGAATGGTGCATTGTGGTCCAGCCCCACTTTTCCAGGGCTGTGGGGCCTGTCTCGGTGTGTCTGCACATTTTTCCTGTGTCCATGTTGAGTCCCCACGTTTCCATCCAAGGGTTACCGCTCCTCCAGGATTTTCTGGGACCACGCCGGATTTTGGTCATCTGTCCTGTAAATAGCACATTTCATTCCAGTCTGTGTTCTGTCTCTGAGTCTGAGCCTTTTGTTTATGTGAGTTAACATATTCAGTCAGAGCTGTAGCTGATTAACAGACAGAGACTATACTGTGTCTTTATAGGCAATGGAATGCACTCAAAGAGCCAACTGCGTCTTCACCCAATCAGACTATTTCATGACCAGCCACTCTCTACACATGTGCTGCGTAGTGGGTGACAATTGGAGCATCACACACTGCCTCTATGTTCAAAGAGTAGGTGGTGGCCTAATGGTTAGGGAAATGTGCTTCTAATCAAAAGGTTGCTGGTTCAAATCCCTGACCAGTAAAATGACACTAAGGTACCTTCAGCATGGTACTGCTCTCTGAGTGCTATACGATAGCTGTCCCCTGCTATGTCACATAGGGGTTAAATGCAGAGGACACATTTTGCTGTGGTGTGTCGATAATGACAAATGATCACTTTCACTTTAAAAAAAAAAAAAAAAAGAAGTTGCCTCAGTGGTGAAATGGATGAAGACGACACCCAGCCAGCAAAAATTAAATGGCTAAGATAAGATAGATCTTTATTGTCGCTATTACAGAAATAGTGAAAAACAGTTTAGCAGCTCTCTGTTTAGCAGCATAGAAGTAATAAATAAGAGAATGAAACACAAAAAGAGACAGCGCTCCTATTATTGAGGGCGGATACTGTGTCCCAGAAATAGTCACTTGGGGGGTGGGGGGTGGGCGCATGACTGCCTGTGTGTAAAAGCTTTTGTTAAGTCTCTTTGTTCTTGCTTTGATTGACCTGTAGCGTTTGCCAGCGGGGAGGGGGGAGAAAAGATAGTGTCCAGGGTGTGAGGAGTCTTTAATGATTTTATTGGCTCTCCGGTGGAGTCTGCCAGTGTAGATATCCTTGGGGGGGGGTAGTGCCGTTCCGATTACCCGCCCTGCTGCCCTTACCACCCGCTGCAGGTTCTTCCTGTCTTCCTCAGTGCAGCTACTGAACCACACTGTGCAGCAGTAGGTCAGGAGGCTCTCGATGGTTGAGCTGCTTTTGGGGGAGGTGGGCCTGACGCGTCTTCCTGAGGAAGTACAATCTTTGTTGTGCCTTCCCCACCTGGTGAGAGATGTTTGTGGACCAGGTGAGGTCGGCAGAGGTGTGGACTCCCAGGAACTTGAAGCTCTCCACCCTCTCTACCTCTTCTCCGTCGATGTAGGGAGCAGAGTGCCCAGCCTGCTTACCTAGGGTGGCTTAAATATACTGAATTAACAATGTATTAAAAATACTGGAGATTACACTGCCACGTAGGAACATAAATTCCCTTCGAAACAGACCTAAATGAACCTTTGGAACAGTGTCGCTATTTGCAGTATTTTTGGTCAATGACTGGGTGTGCTGGGATTTTCCAGGACTGAGGCGACCCTGTTCCATCCCCAGAGCAGGTCTGCCGATGCCTCTTCTTGGTGAGAGCACTGTAACAAACTGCTTTTCCACTCGGAGTGTGACATGCCTGACTGGAATAGGTTCTGGTGCACACCCTCAAGAAGCAGTACGTAATTAGAAATGAGTGGACAGTCAAGGGCTTTGTAGGACAGTTGTGAATTGCACACTGGCAACAGGGCAGTGAATTAGGGCTTCTATTGTGTTAAAGGATTATTTAAGCTCAGGGAGACACTACACAGGGCTCTGCTAAGATGTAGCGGTTTTAAATATCGTTATCTGTCAAAAGTAAGAAACTAGAGTCACATGTTTTCTGAATTGTTTTACAGTTTGAGCCCTTCCATGATTATGCGTTTGGAGAGACACGTTTCATTCCTGGCGGCCTGCCTTGTGCCCTGTATGTTTTGGAGAGACACCAGCCCTCTGCAATCCTGACCTGGATAAGCGCTTATGTTGTGAATGGAGGGATGAATTTTTCTCCTGGGTTTGTCCAGTGCTCCAATCCTCAGTGGCAGGAAGCTACATTAGCTTGCACTGCACATGCGCACGGACTTCCTGTTCTACTGCGGACGTTGCCATGACTTCCACAATGTTTGGCTTCCTTTTTGACATTTTCTTCTAATTTAGTTGATTTTGAATGTTCATTCAAACATTGAATGAACCGTTCATTTATTGCAAGGTTTATTTTAAGTATATAAATACCAGTTGGCATTTAAACTGTATTTTTGGTGTGTTTTATATGTAGTTTGTACCTGCTAAATTTTTTGGTGTATTTGAACAAGTGGTTATACTGACCTCCCCTGAGTAATTTCTGGGTAACTAAACAGGAGTCAGAGCTCATATGTGTATCAGTCAGGTGACCAAACCATAAAAACAAGTAAGAGGAAGTCTCTTTTTAACTGTCTAGTTTATGGAAGAAATTCTGATACAAACCAAAACTTGTGTATCCAGCACTTTAGCGTTCAGATATTAGTCGCTAATCTGGTGGCAGATACTTGGCGCCCCTGACACTGACTTTTCTCTCGGCGTCTGCGTCTTGGCAAGATGGCACCCTCCCCCGCTGTGGCCTACCGGAGACGGCTGTGGATGGCGGGAACAGCCGTGGTGGAGAATCTGCTCTTCTCCGCCGTGCTCCTGGGCTGGGGCTCCCTGCTGATCATGCTGAAGAACGAGGGCTTGTATTCGCACTTGTGCTCAGGTACGGCCCGAGTCGAGCCTTAGTCTTGTAAGGCTGTTTACTCAAGGTGTTGCTAAAACCACACCAGCTGTTATTGACATGGAGAACGACGAGGTCCAATCTGAGGTGTTGCGGCTGGACCCAACGTCGTTATGTGTAAAAGTCAAAGTCCTTAAGTTTTGTGAGCTGGAAGGTATGGAATGGAGGCTTTAATTCACCACGGATGCCCTGTCCTCAGCGAACAAGACGACGGCCGCCAACGCCACCGGTGAGGAGGTGCTGTGGCTCACCTGTGTGGAGCAGGAGGAGATGCTCAACCTGGGCTTCACCATCGGCTCCTTCCTGCTCAGTGCAGCCACCCTCCCCCTAGGGATCCTGATGGATAAGTTCGGGCCCCGTCCGCTGCGTCTTCTAGGAAGGTAAGCCAGATGTGACACGGGGGTCTGGGAGGGAAGAATCGAATCGATGACCTACTGGTCCGAGCACACAGACATTATTCTATGCTGTCCTGGTCCTGACCTAGTTCCTAGACCTTTTCTTCTTGGGATGCTTGGTTACATTATTCTAGTCATTGTAAAGCGGCTGGTGATAAAACGAGGGAGGTGTGAAGGGTGATTTGGTGAGGACGGCTAGACGAACACCCCAGGGTGCGTTAGAACTCGCTCCAGGGGGGCAGTGAAGGAAGAGAGACGAGAATGGAGGGTATGCAAGGGGGGGGGGGGGGGGGTCTGTTAAGTGGAACACCCATATGGCCTGGTTCATGCATACTGCGGTCCGGAATGTTCATACTTTTTGTGCCTATGTGGCGGGCAACCGTGTACTTTCATGCCACGCCTAGGGGTGGCGCTGTAGAGCAAAGCTGTAGCATATATATTATATTAAAAAATAATTATTTTGCTAAAACTGTTGATGCATTATGTACTGACAGTCTGCAGGGACATGCAGCACATCGCAGTTATAAACCTGTTTTATGTTTGTTTGCAGCCGTCTGGGAGTCTCTACACTCCGGCGGCGCGAAATCATAAAAATGGCCGTATTTCCGGACATTCTCGGTCAACCATTCTTCAAACCCGCCAGCCATTTTCGTTGTTATTTTGATCGTAGAGAGCAGAAAAGGTGTTTGTATACAGTCTTTGGTGCCATCTCCTTTCTGGCTTCCTGCTGCGTTTCCCACGGCCAGTGAACGACCGCATTTGCGTCACTTGAGCAGATCATCCATGTTGGTTTGGTTTTCGAGTGTCAAGCACCTTCGCGGGGCCCCCCAGTGCAATCTCTGCGCCCGCCCCTGGTGATGGGAATTACACAAGCGATAGGCATGAGTCATCTGCACGCGCCACATACCTAGAGGGGGGGGGGGGTGCGTGAGGCTCACATGCTGCCTCTCTGTCGGTTTTGGGCACGTTTCTGCACATATAATCATAAAATCATGCTGGATGAAGCAAAAGGTCACATGCTTATCGTAAGCTGAGAATCTAGGCAGATGTTTGTTTTAAAAAAGGTTTTTTAGATGCCAGGAACCCTGCTGCTCAGAAAGGTAATCATGCACAGGGAGTGCCTTTGTATGCCGCACAAGTTTTAAATGAATACCTTTTAATAACTGCTGAGCAGTAATTAAGAATGATTGTGTCATGCAGGTGATTAATATATTGGTGCCTTAAATCATGTTTGTTTTTTTTTTTTTAAAAGTCTGATATCTGTCTTTTGTGTCTATGTGTTTTGTGCTACAAAATTGTCCAAAAAGTGTTTAGGAGTCGCATTAGAAGGAGCAACAGCTGTGAAACTCTGTGTAGCTCAGTGAGTTACGATGGTGTGATGGCAAGTGGATTGTCTCTGGTTCAAATCCCTGGACTGATGGATTGATTTCAGTATTGGGCTCTTCAGACAGACTCTTATCACTCATCTGTCGTTCTGCTTTCTCAAAAAATATGTATGTGGTTGTGGATAAAAGAGTCTGACCCCCCAAACAGCGGCCTGCCCTAACCAGAAACCTCTCTCTGCGTTTTACTCCCTCCAAACAGTGCGTGCTTTGCCGTCTCCTGCGCCCTGATCGCCGTTACGGCCTACAAACCCATGGGTGAGTCTGAGATGTGAACTGGGGTGGTTTCCGCAGATGGACCTCGATAGGACCTCTGCCGCTACGCTAATCTAACAATCGCTAAATGAGTCAAGGAAGATTCATTTTATTAAGGTTATGGTCTTATATGGCAGGTTGGGAGGGGGCGTCTTTTAATTCTGCGAAAATATAATCATATAATTATCAACCCGTATTAAAGCTCTTACAGCAGGGGTAGCCAATCTTATCCGCAAAGGGCCGGTGCGTATGCGGGCTTTCGCTGCAACTCCCTAATTAGATTACTAATTAGAGGACTGATTGGCTGAAGAGTCCTCACACCTGGGTTTGAACAGCTGACCTACAGGTTATCCCAAAAACCTGCATGCACACCGGCCCTTTGTGGATAAGATCATCCACCCCTGTCTTAAGGTATGTTAGGATGTTAAGGTATACTTCCATGGTGCTTATGAATATTCTATGAATGCGTTATGAAGGTGCACTGACTATTCTATGAATGCATTATAAATACATTATGGCAGTGCATTGACTGTTCTATGGATGTATTATAGAGGCACAATAAAGGTGCAGTTAATGTAAAGCATTTCCAACATAGAGAAGCCCTGTATGAAGGGTCAGCTGTTTAGTCATGACTCAACATGCCACTGTGTTAGGGCTCCCTGCTGCGTCCATCTCTGTGTGGGGGTTTTACATTGTAAATTAAATGTCGGTTGCTCTGTATAGTGTTTGTGTGTGTGTGAATTCTAGCTCCATTTTTTAGAAAGGTAGGTATTTCCTGTGCTTTATTATGAATTAAAGTAGCATGTTGATGTAGCAGAGAAACGTCGGCGTGGCTCTGTGCTGATCTTCCCTTACTGTCTCTCTTTCCAGACCTCTCTGCTCTCATCTTCCTTGCTCTGTCCTTCAATGGCTTTGGAGGAATTTGCCTAACCTTCACATCCCTCACGGTGAGAGACTTGTACAAACAGAATCTTTTTTTTCTGAAAGGATGGTTAGAGTCCTTGTGTTTACCACCATAAAAGCTTAGATATGTTTTTCAGTCTTCATGGTGAGTCCTTCCTGTCCTAGCCTAATGTTATGACGATTACATCAAATGATAAACATCTGAAATTGCTCCTCTCAAATAAGCTTCCAGGGAATGTTCCTACCCAACATGTGAAATCTATCACGAACCTTGCATATACACATTTTTTCCCTGTGTGTGTCAGGACCCCTAAGTGATGAGTCTTTTCCGTGAGGGACCGATCATGGGGGAATGACAGCTTGCATTGGCTTCCCAGCCTTTTTGACTTTCCGTGGCCAGGATGGAATTTAAGCACATGCTCCCCGACCAATCACAGCGCTCTGCAGGCCTCACACCCCCTCCTCAGCCACACCTCCCAACCTCTGCTGAAAAGCCACAAGGACAAGCTCTTTGTCAATGACCGTAAATAACCTCTGTTTTTTGGCTGTTGGCTCATATGATCCACCAGGCAATCTACACCGTACATTTATATCCTCTTTCGTTTCCCAGCATCTCTAATATATTACGCATTTGACTGCTGCCATGCATGTTTTAGGGGCAGGGTATCGTGGAAAAACAAATAGGTGTGATTGGACGATGATCCTCCAATGGGACGGACTCTGTCAGCCTGTATGTGGAGAGGATGGGCGAGTCTCAAGGCTAGTAAAGCTACCAGAGTCCTACAAGGCCAGTGTTATCTTCAAAGATGCGTAAAACACTTTGCTCGTGCCCCCCCCCCGCCGCCACCGCCCTTTCTGTGGCCTCTCACATGACTAATAAGACATGACATTGTTTCCAAATAAGTGCAGTTCCTAGTTAAGGTAGTTTGATTCTTGCTTCTCGCGTTACTGCTGCAGTAAAATGTTGTACCTTTCGCTAGTTAAACACTAACTATAATTAATTTCATTTGATCTGATAAGTCGTTTGGCTATTTATACAAGGATGGAATGCAGTATTGAGGCCAGAGGGAGTTTCTTTCCGCTCTGTTTTCTGTAGACTGCGTGTTTTGACACATCGCTGGCTAGGAGTTGGAGGCGTTGATCGAGCGAAGGTCTCCTGGATCTCACCTCAACTGTAGCGGGGGCTTGGCGCTTGACCCAGATCAGTGTCCGCAGGTCCCAGGAGCCAAGCCACCCATTTCCAGCATTGATTGATTCTCTTAGAGCAGTACAAGTACTAGACGTTTAAAGTGAGCTTAAACACTGCTATCGGTCGATCTCTGTGCAGGGTCGTCTTCGGTCACGCCTGTATTTCCAGCCAGCTGAGAAACGCAATGGACGTAGTGACCCCTGAAGGACAAGGGGGAGGAGGCCACCATGTTCCTTGTAGGGAGGGTAGGGTGGGGTGGGGGGGTCGTAAATGCCACAAGGCAGCAGGTTGGAACCCGGGACCGGTTCAGTGACTTTTCCACATGGGACGCTGGCCGCCCGGGGAGGGGGCTGAGCCGCTGTGTTTGCTGTGCCTGTGCTGGCAGCGGCGACATGCCTGGGCCGCGCTGACCTGAGCCCCCCCCCCCATCCTCGTGACGCACACCATAAACACGAGCCGGGAAGGGGGCCAGAAGGAACGCTGCCTTTAAAAGGGACACAGTGCTGGTAGTGTGGGGAGCAGAAGCCTTTGAGAGAATACATACAGTGTTTAAGAGCATCTTCAAAAAAAAATTATATGTTTACATTGCCTTGCATAAGTATTCACTCTCCTGAGACGTCTTTAGAATTTGTCAAGCCTACAGCGAAAATGGATTTCATTGGGATTATATGTATAGTTATAAAACGATTACCTTAAGCCTGAAGATTTTGTAGATCAGCATTACATTTTTTTATTAGAGAATGGGGGAAAATATGGTACAACAGTGAAGGTCATCCACCTAAACTCAGAGACTGGGTAAGGAGAGCGTTAATCCGAGTAGCAATGAAGAGGCCTGTGGTAGCTCTGGCAAAGCTGGAAAGATCCACACATCTGGCAGCTAGGAGTCGTACGCTTCGCAAAGCTGGGCTTCGTGGAAGGGGAGTGAAAAGGCCACTGCTGAAAGCAAGCCACAAAAAACCCTGCTGGGATTTTGCCAAATGCCATGTGGGAGAGACCGCAAACATGTGCAAAAAGGTACTCTAGTCAGATGAGACCTAAATTGAACTCTCTGTCCCTGGAGCAAAGCACTATGTGTGGCAAATAGACACTGCACATCACCCTGAGCACATCACCCTGAGCACATCATCCCTGCAGAGACACACGACGGTGGCAGCGTCATGCTGTGGGGAAGCTTTTCCTCGGCAGATTCTGGGAAACTGGTGAAGATTGAAGACAAGATGTATGGAGCTAAATGCAAAACGATTCTTGAAGAGATTCAGCTTCAGTCTGCTAGAGACTTGAGACTAGGGTGGAGGTTAATGTTCCAGGAAAATGGGCAAAAACTGCAGTGTCTAGGTGTGCAAAGCTGGTATAAACATACCCTGAAATGCTTGCTACTGTAATTGGAGCAAAATTTGGTTCCACCAAGTACTGAGTCGTGGGGGGAAAATACTTGTGCATCCAACACGTTTGCTTTTTTTTATCTCTGTGACACTTAGCCCAAGGAGTGGTTTAGCGGCCTAAGTCTCCTTGCCCCTGATAGGAAGGGTGGCAGTTCGAGCCTCAGCAGGACAGTCACATGTCTGTTAGCCCTTGAGCAAGGCCCTTAACCCTCAGCTACAGGGGTGCCACATGTAAGCCGACCCTGACCTGTAACCCCCAGGCTATGGAGAGCAAGAGGGGGTCGGTGAAGAGGAGAACTCCGAAGTACCAGTTCTCGTACTCGTGCGAACGGCAAATAAAGGAGCTACCTTTACGTTGCTGGCGTTTGAAAATCCATTTGCATTCCAGGCTGAAATATGACACAATGTGGAAAAGCTTCAGGAGGGTGAATGCTTATGCAAGACAGTGTAATATACCGACTTCGCTCATCCAGTGCGGGGCGGCGGTGGGTCAGGAGTCGGCCTGGAAAAGCGCGGGCTACCTGGCAGGGGGCATCCTGGACCTGGGTGACAGTTTTATGTTCAGAGAAGGCAGCATGCACATTTTGAGGGATATAAAACTATATTTACATTAGCTTGTCAAAGTAAGGCCTGGGATTGAGGTTAAGGTATCCTATGCAGATTTAAAGCGAGTAAATGAGACCAGATGGCTTCTGGGAAACATCGGGAGCAGGCAGATCCAAACCCACTCGGGATCCACACTGCCAGCTGCCTTCGCTATAACACAAGGCGGGAGGGAGCCGGGAAAGGTGTCCCACGCCCGACACATTAAAGTGGAATTGGTGAGGAAGGTGCAGGGGGCGGGGATTGCAGGTGTGGCCACTGGTTCGTTATCTAAATCAGACCTCTTTTTTTTGACAGATGTAGATGGGTTGGCACTTGGGGAAAAAGGGCATTTATATGCCACTAAGGAATGCGACCCAGCACTAAAGATTTTAAAAACCCAAGGAGAGCTGAAGAATCCTTTACAATTGAACAAAAACTCTTGGCGTCTTAAATATATATTTATAAGCCATTTTTAAATAAGATATTTCTTCTTTTGTTTGTACAGTAGGGAAATAACTTGACTGACGTGTGCATAGGAATTGCCCCCATTTAGCCAGAGGGCAGGGTTTTGTTTATGCTTGTGACCGAGACGCCAGACGACGTTGATGGTGTTCCAGTGAAGGAGACGGGCTGCAGTTTCCATTTCCTGTCGTCGTCTGGTGTGAAAGGGCACATAGTGGCCCTACTTACCTCCATGCAGCCTCACCTCTGCTGAAAGTAGTTAGTACCCCCTACTGGTGATGTAGTGTCACTGCATCAAAGACATTGGTTTTAGAACAAAAATCATTATTTTATTCATTTGTTTATATATGACTATCTTTGATTTATATATATATAAATCAACAACCAGTAAACAACCAGTAGTTTTAAGTCAAACATTAATTACACATAGTGATAAATTGAAACCAAAATTTTAGTTCCAAAACAAAAGGTCTCATTGAGTGCTTATATTTGCAATAACATAACAACAAACATTTGTGTTTAGTATCCCTTTGGGAGCCAGTGACTACAATTTCAATTCAATGGTAAGAACAGAACTGAATGTACGGAGGTATTATTGGTGCAAAACACCTCAGCATCTGTAACAGTGCAATCTGTAGCTGTAGAAAAGTCACACGTGTATCAGTAAATTTTAAGTCAAGGGATTTCCACAAACACAACACAACGATTACGCCTTCTCAAATTCTTCATTACAAGTGCACAAATCCTATTCCACGCATCACAAACTAAGAAACTCACACGCTCACAGTTTTGCTACACTTGCCGCAGTAAATATGGCACAAAACACATTGAAGTAATTCGTACCTGTAGGGCCAGGGGCGGGCATTGTATCACCCACCATTATACTTTTGATTAGTGATGCACCGGAACGATTTAATTTAATTGTTATTAATTTTGTGTTGTTTTACCGAAATAAACTTTGGGTAATTACTAGGGGTGTTATGAGATACTACATGAGATCTCTCGTAGGAATGAAAAGCGGTTTCGCGAATGTGCTGCAAATCAGCTATTGTAAGCATGTCGGCGTCTGACTAAGTTACCTAGCAGATGCCCCAGACACTTTTAAATCTTCTGTGTGGCAGCATTTTGGGAATCCGGCGGAAAATATAAACGGCGAAAGAGTGACAGAACACGAACCATCTGTAAGCAATGTAGGAAAATAATGCCGCACACAGCGGCTTCAAATATGCAATGCATTCTGGTCCTGATGCAATGCATCATGGTTAGATTTGCCCGCTGCAAAACGTCACCACGCGTCACCATGTCACATGGTACAAAAACCTCGCGGGAGTAAGACGACTTGAGACAGATCGTGCAGCACCTCTCAAACGGCTGCACAGACTGGAACCGCCTCCGTGACCACACAACTTTGCCCTTATTGGCTGAAGAGTTTAGTTACACGCATGACGTTTGTATCCCAGGAAGTTCCGATGCGTTATCTGTTATTTCTACCGAAAAGCACGTAATGCAGTGAGAACTGGTTTTCATTTAATTTACCTGGTAAAATAAAGTTTAAATAAATGACACAAATGTTGTAACACATAAGTTAGTTGTCTATTTATTGTTAGTTAGTCAGTCAGATTATGGTACTTAATAAAAGAAAATGTCTGTGTAGAACATATGTACAGAGATGTTTGACATTGCCTGTTAAGGTACTTTGGTGTGTGTCTGTGTATGCACATGTGCAGAACTTAAAGAATACATACTCTGGCTATATGCATCTCTGCTGTGGGACTTATCTTTGGCGGCAACTGAGAATGAAACAGACTGCGGCTTGGGATTGTTGGGGAGGAGGAGCCTGGGACATTCTGCTCTCAGCACAGGCCATTAGGGCAGGAATGCCTCACGTCTGGGCTTACGGGAAAAGAAGCAGATGTTTATAATATACTGTACGGCGACAGGGATCGTGCTGGGTACAGGGAACCCTCATGGGTACTTGACTCTCCGTCCTGGGGTGCACAGGTGGTGCCCCTAAGCTCTCTACATTCCACAGGACAGTCGGACACAATCAGCATAAAGAAGCTTTTAAAATCTAATTAAAACATTGACATTTGTTCAAGCACAATAGGACCAGTTTAATCCTGCTCTGTGCTTGCCGCAGTATTCACAGAGCCAAGCTTGCCAGCTAGCTGCTGGTTCCTCTTTGTTTTTCAATAATTATTAATTACTAAAAATTACAAGTTAATTAATGATTCTTCTGGATAAACAGGAATGAGCTGATGTGTCATGTGTTTTAGTTGTGGCCTACACTGAGGGTAGTTAAATAGGGTGGTGCATTATATTATGTCATCTTTTGAACTTGGTTGTTATACCTTTTCTCTCTCTCTCTCTCTCTCTCTCTCAGTTGCCAGTAATGTTTGGTAGCCTGAGCTCCACCATCATGTCCCTCATGATTGGCTCCTACGCCTCCTCAGCAGTCACCTTCCCAGCAGTCAAGGTACCGTTGACGGCCAAGCTGACCCACGGCGTTGGGGCTTAAATGGGATCCGTAAGCGTACCTAGAGTACGGGTGGAGGCTCATACCATACTTTTGTAGGCCGCTGTGGAGCTTTGGTATGGAAAATGGGCGGGTTCTCCATCTTAATGCACCCCCTCTCTCCCCTACGCCCTCCTCTTTTGCGTTTAAGCTGATTTACAATGCCGGCGTGTCTTTCCGGGTGATCATGTGGGTGTGGTCAGCCCTGGCCTGCCTGGTCTTCCTGAACTGCTTCCTAAACTGGCCAGTGGAGGCCTTCTATACACCTGAGGAGTTCAGGTATGTGGTCAAACACGCCGGCCGCTGTAACACGTGTTTTCCCAGGTCCTTCTCTCTGTGACCATGGTGGTTTATACAACGAGCTTGGCTGTCACCGTATCAAGGCTCATGCTCTACATGCCGTCCTCTGTTTGTAACAGGAGGAAGACTGAGAGCACCAGTTTTTCTCAGGAAGAGAAGGAGAGCTGGGATCATCTCCACAAAGATGTTCCCCCAGGGGACCTGACCCTAAGTGAGGGCAACCAGTTAGTGGATCAACTCTCCAAGAAGCTTCCAGAAGACAACCCCAACCCACAAAGTGAGTCTATGTCTTGAAACAGAGACAGCTGCCAAATGTGTTTGACCTTTTCCAAAATCGTTTTCGCATTAGAAGACCTTTTAAGTGATGAATATCTATGAAGTAAAAAAAAAAAATAACTATTTATTTGTATTTTTGGAGAACATTCACACAGTGTTTCAAACCAGGTTCCTCTCACAGTCAGAAGAGCTCAGAATCTAAACACTTTGATGTAACTTCTCAAGGAGCCACGTGGATAACATGGTGGCCAACTCCACGAGTTCACATCCGACGGTCTCAGCATGTTAACGGATGATGTTGTAACCATGACCCAATATGATTAATTCAACAGCAATGTGACTACATTACACCTGTACAGTTCACTGAGGTAACAGCCATTGAGGTAACACAGAAGACGCAATTCCAGAACCATTTCCTTATTCCATAGCCTTTTAACCTAGTTAGCAGAAGCTGTAGAACCATTAGAAAGAATCAAGCCACATCCATATAGGTCTGCAGCAGTAGTACTAATGTGTTGGCAGAGGTGGACAGTTCGGGTTCAGAAAGTAAAAATCCAGACCACAATTTTATTTCAATCAGCCAGTTGAGTACTCTGTGACTGTCACTCTTTGAAATAAAATCGTGGTCTGGATTTTTACTTTCTGGATCTGAACTGTCCACTTATGTGTGTTAGGAATGTGTACATTCCTCTAGGAACAACCAATCTAATGTTTTAACGTATCTAGTAGTACTAACATGCATCCTGTGCCATGCTGACCCCCACCGGCTCCCATCATGGAGGCACCCTGACACTCCCGTTCCCTCTCGGCCTCAGGTACGGTGCCCTTTCGCAGGTCAGTGTGCTCGCCCATTTTCTTGTGGAGCCTCCTCACCATGGGCATGACCCAGCTGAGGATCATCTTCTACATGGGTGCCATGAACAACATGCTGCAGTTCCTGGTCACCCACGGCAACCCACACCGTAAGCCCATGAATCTTCCTGCTCAGTAGTGTACATGGGGGCGGGGCCACAAGGGCACCGGCCCCACCTGAAAGCTGATTGGTCCTCTCCTCTGATTCACAGATTAAAGTTTGCCCCCTCTGTGGGAATTATTGCCCCTCCATTGCCCCCCACCTTTAAAAAAATCACAATATTGCCCCTGTCACTGCTCTTTCATTTTCTCAGTGACTGGGGGGGTGACTTATCTCTTCTTACATTCTAATGCCTTTGTTGTCTTGCATTATCTTTCAGCCTCTGAGGAACTGGCTAATGAGAAAGGTTGGTAAAAGACATATTTGTTGTCATTCACCACCAAATGAGGTGCAGTTTGCAGATTTGGGCCTTTTATATTTCTAAGGGGTGTTGATCATGTTCCTTCAGTCTGGGGTCCATGAGATCTACTGCATTAATGGTAGGGGATCCCTGGCTGTGCTCTGTGGACATCTGCGGGCCCCTAGTTCTGTAGATTGCCAGTTGCGTGCTGATTGCGCCCGTGCCTTTGACAGTGGACAACTACGCCTCCATTTTCGGTGCCTTGCAACTGCTGTGCCTGCTGACATGCCCTCTCATTGGCTACATCATGGACTGGAAGATGAAGGAGTGCGTGCAAGATGGCAAATTCCGGGACAACGGCCAGAAAAGGTCTGAGGGCACGAGAGGATGGGGTGGGACCCAGGACAGGGGTGGGAAGACAGGAGTGATGTGTAAACAAGCCACATGGGGAACGGTGGTGGCTCGCAAAGATAAAACGCTGCTGCTTGTCTCTACCGGTTGAGTAGGTCTATGTTTGCACCAACAACAGACTTCCTGCCCCCACTAGGAGAGACCCGAAACTCCAGAAGCTCACCAATACCATCAGAGCCTTTACCTTTACTAACCTGCTGCTGTTCATCTTTGGTATCACCTGCCTGATAGACAACATGGCTGTACAGGTAAGAGCAGGACACATGGCCGTGGTGGGGATGTAGAACCCGATCGTGCCTGTTAAGCTCCAACCTCACAAAGCGCGTGCTGATGGTGACGGAGATAAAGGCTCACCCTGTCTTCCAGGTCATCACGTTCATATTGCACACTATGGTTCGAGGGTTCATCCATTCCTGTTGCGGGGGCATGTACGCTGCAGTGTGAGTAACGTGACGGGCACCTTCGTTCAGGGTTCCTGGCTAAATCAGCTGGCAGATGACCGATGCCCTTGTGTCTCCTTCTGTTTCGTGTAGGTATCCCTCCAATCACTTCGGCACCCTGACGGGGCTGCAGTCAATGATCAGTGCGGTCTTCGCCCTACTACAGCAGCCGCTCTTCATCGCAATGGTGGGGCCACTCAAGGGAGACCCCTACTGGGTGAGACTTGGGCAAAAAAAAGGCTGACGCCTGTCCTCTATCGCAGTGCTTCCCAACCCGGTCCTTGGGGACTCCTGAGCAGTCCGCGTTTTTCCTGGGAGCTGGGTAGGAGCAAAAAATTGGACTGTCTGGAGGTCCCTCAGGACCGGGTTAGGAAACATTGATCTATTACACGTGCACTTGACACACCGATGCTCAATGACTGACCGGCGTCTCTCCACAGATCAACATGGGGCTCCTCCTTTTTTCGCTGGCCGGGTTCTTGTTGCCCGGATATCTGCTCTATCACCATAGACACCTCCAACAGAAGGCAAAACTTCAGGTGGAGGTGGCCAAAGAAGCCCTAACCCATGAAGAAAGCAACAGCACCAAAAACCATAGCAACGGGCATCTGCCTCAGGAGGCTTAGGATTTAAACTCCATCCATCCATCCACCCATTTTCCATTCCCATTTGTCCTGTGCAGGGTCTCAGGGGTCCAGAGTCTATCCCAGAAGCTAAGGGTTCAAGGCAGGGAATAACCCAGGATGGGGAGGCAGGTGGACTGACCATTTCAACATGAAATATGTTCATTTTAAAATAGGATGTTGTTGTGTGTGTGTGTGGTAGCATTTGTAGTGTTAATTACTAGTCTGACTTGAGCTGTTGGATTTCAGAAAAATGGACTTGAAGTTAGTTTTAGTGTTTGGGTGTTTTATGACTGTGGCATGTGACACAATGGCTTTAATTTAGTCTACATTACAACATATACTCTACGATGCAAAAACGATATGCTTGTTTTGTTATAGGTATATCGGTATATATAATATAAAAACGTATTATCATTATTATGTATAATCATCTCACCAGCTTGGTAGATTGTACACCATAGTCCTTTTTAAGATTGAGGAGAACTTGGTGACATATTCAGTTCATCATTTTGTATCTTTATGGTCTGTAGGGTGAATCACACAATCAAGTGACACTCAGACCATCTACGAAGCATGTTGTTTCTCTGGGCAGTATATATTTACGACATAGAACATGAACCGTTACGATGGAATCGGCTACTGAAGGCGATGTACTAGAAAAGCTGATTGAAAGATTAGTACATCGGTACTTATTTCATTAAGCACCATTTCAGTCAGTGTCATAAATGTGTAAATGAGGCTGTTCGGTTGAACACTTTCTCAATATTAACTGCCTCATAACACTGGTGCAAATTCTTTTCTTTTAGTCTGCTGTTTTTAAATTTTACGCATGTTAAGGCGTTTTCGTATAGGTATGTTTTGCAGCTGCACATCTTGATTTCAAAAGGAAACTTTTCTCTTTGTATTTGGAAATATATTGTCTGATATTGGCAAAGTTTTTTTTTTTTTTTGATGATGATGGTCGATATATTCTGTGACAAGCTGCACAAAATAACCTAGGCAGTACCTTATTGTGTTGTGGTTCTTGTGGGCATTCCAGACACGTATTTGCCAAATTATTTAAGCAGTTTATTTATGACGTTTGCTGTCATCCAATAGCTTTTTTAATTGTCCACTATTGCAGCGTTATATACAGGTATTGAAATGTGTGCCAGTAGTAGCTGATAATACCTCACTGTAAAATCAGCATTTTGCAAAAAAAAAAAAAAAATGCAAATACAGGAATGTACTTAACTCACACAAAGTGCCTCAAAATGTAAAAAAAAAAATGCAATTCCTCACTTGTTGGAGGGTGGGCCCCCAGTTAACCAAACATTATTTTCCAAAGGGCAGTGTCCACTCCATGTACTTCCTGCAAAGCTTGAATTTTGTGGTGTATTATCTGGTAGTAAAGTCATTCTGCCTTTCACAGGTAGAGCTGGGGTGGGGGGGGTGGTCTTCCTCTTCATCTCACACACTGAATGGATGGAAGCCATATTGAAGCTGGTGCTTTTGTCTGAAGATATCTGTAGTCCATATATATGTCTATATTTTACCGCTGCTGAGTTTAAGTGCCTTCATCGAAATCAGAATGCAGTGGTTGGAGCAGCTACCATTGGCTGACGAGCCCCTGCCTTTGACCACTGCACCTTGCACTGTTGGATTCTTCTGACTTGGCCCAGTAACTGTGACTGGTTACTTGTATCTATTCCTGCGTTCTTTATTTTTGTTTAAACTGCTTTTTCTGAGGATCCATCTGATGTCAACTTCAGACAATAAATACATATTTTTGGAAATGAATCTTGTGTCTATGAATGTTTGCGATAATGAGTCTCTATTCCCCTTTGCTCACATCCAGTGAACGTTTAATATTAATGTGTTTAATGAGGATAGCTAAGGGGCACGGTGGGATACCGCAGCTGCTTCACATCATCAGGGCTGGGGCTCTGTGTCTCTGGGGTGATCATGGTCTTCCTTTGTTCTGTGTATTTCCTATGGATACTTTGGTTTCCTCCATAACAGGATCCATTAGGCTAACTGGTATCTCAAAATTGGCTCTGGAGTATCGAGTGTGTGGACTGGTGGCTTTTATCAACATGTTTATTAAGTATGTGTACACAGTATGCTTAAATGATTTTAATTCACGCTGTTTTACCATTTTTAGAATTATAGCAAGCATTAAAAATCAATCTGAACACCAGTCTACATTTTGTTAAAGCAGCCGCGCCAAAGATTTTTGCTGAAATCCCTGTGGAGGTCTATGTCCGTCTGGACGTCCTGGTCAGTCTCACGGGGCTCACACACACACACACTAGGGTCAAATTTACATTAGTTTTTTTTATTTAGTTTTCCATTTTGGTATTCAGTTCCAAATAGTTTGTGTCATTTTTATTTTCTGAACATTTCCAGTTTTAGTCTAGTTTTTATTTAGTCTCAGTGTTAATTTTAGCTTTTAACTACCAAGTTTTGATACCACACTGGAAGTGACTTGCGTGTTTTCACCCGAACACGAAGCAGCAATGGTGAAAGTGTGAAGCATCTTGTTTTCTTGCCTTAACATTCCCTTCCAAAGCCCACACCTCTTTCCTGTAACACCCTCATGTGTTTATAGCCATGAACGATCTGGCTTATTGATGCCCCCGAGTCCCTGTTTACAATATACATACACTTGATGGGATTTGGCGTTTTTTGGAGAAAGCAAAGACGTATGAAAACCCCTAGGAGAGTAGTGGTTAGAGAGTGAGGAATTATAACCCAGAAATATAAAAATAATCCAGTAAGATAATTGTTGTACGAAGCGTTAAGAGAATGCTGCAAAAATATGTATATGTAGTTCAGAGATGGGCTTATTACAGTAGTGGGGTCAATAAACATGTTTACTAATACGGAAAAAACGCAACATTAAATTAGTAACTCATACATCCACTACAAATAAATGTCTAAATACTGGAAAGTGCATTATTCTTATTTTTCTTGTCTATCTTTTACTGTAAGGCAGTTACTGTTTGGCTTTTGCCATTTTTTTTGCAGTCAAAACGGGGGGCAGTGTCACATATAAAGGTATAATGCATGCTTTTGCAAGGAGGCTCAGGTTTACCTTTGTCTCGTGGCAACTTTACAAGAATACCTCATTATTTTATGCCAACTGTCAGGCATCCGGCGTGACACTCACGCTTTCAGACTCCCACGTTCAAGCAAGAAATCTTACGGCAACTTATTATTCCATCATAAACTTGAAATTAGCTACATTAAAAGCGTTGGGGTAGTCTGCAAACCTTACAGACTATTTACAAGGTAATAAATATGTTACATAAAAGCAAATGAGTGTGCAGACTTGTCCCGAATTGAAAAATCCTACGACAGCCAGGTGACCAAAGTTGTCGACCCTGGGTTTGGCCGCTAGCTAATATTTGTAATATAAGCAACGCACGAAAATCTTACTTTTACCATAGAAACGTATAGCGTGTAAAAAAAAGGTGACTGGCAACGCCAAAGACCAATAAATGCGCTCCATGCGCACGTTTGTAACCAATCAGATTTTAGGAATTGGAGTCGCCGACAGTAGCGCTGCGTCCTCGTTGACCTCCTTCCTCGTGCGTACCCCTTTAAGAACACCCGCAAGCAGCGGTCACTTTACTACGTGCCAAACTTCCGGTGACACTTTCCTCAGCTGTTCCTCTCTTTCTCCCGACCGGCCTACAGAAAATGGCGCTACTTACAACGTTCTTCGCCTTTCTCTACCACTTGCCGCGTGTTTACCAGTGGCTGCTGAAGCCGTATTATGTCGCCTCGCTGGCCATGTCTGTCGCTTTCCTTGTGGTTCGGAAAACGCCGGGCATCTGCGAACACCTGTCGTCGCAGCGAGAGGACGGGAACTCCTGTGACTTTGACTGGGTTAGTATGCCGGGGGCAATACGTCCAGAAACTGGGGCAGCTATCAAGAATAAAACATGCAGCGGCAAGATCATTTCCAGGGAGTTTTTGGACGGAAGTCGATAGATTACTATAACGGAAATGCGCATGCGCGTGCTGCAGTAGCGGCAGCTTTGAAAAGTGTGCGGGTGCGAATTGGGGGATGTCTCGGCCACAAAGCTAGGCAGCGTGCAGGACGTCCACCTGTAACCACGATCGTGTGTTATACTTGCAGAGAGAGGTGGAGATCCTGATGTTTCTCAGCGCCATCGTCATGATGAAGAACAGGAGAGCGAGTAAGTACTAGCTTTAAAAAAACAACGAACCTTATTGTCTCCACTGAGCTCAGGCCGCCGTTTCTATTCAGCATCATTCATTTAGCATAACTAGGTTCAAAAGTATACGGTTGGCTACTCCGGCTGATTAATGTAATTTTTCCCCTTCGACTTTTTCTTTTTTAGTCACTGTGGAACAACATGTGGGGAACCTCTTTCTTTTCAGCAAAGTGGCAAACGTCATCCTTTTCTTCAGGCTTGATATTCGCATGGGCCTCCTCTACCTGACATTGTGTATCGGTCAGTGCAACAGCTCTATTTGAAATCATCAATATCCTTTTATATTATAATTGTATACTTAATGACAACTACAGCACAACTTGTTTTGGTCGGAGTGACTGTAATATTCTTGATATAGTGAATGCTACCTAGAATAATCGGATAGAGCAGCTTTTTAAATAGTATTTTTACTGTACATATGTTATGCATGCTTGCCAGTGCTGTCCTTCCCGGAACCCCTGGTCATAGTTATTTCTGTCTGTTTCCGTGTCAGTTTTCCTGATGACATGCAAGCCACCCCTTTACATGGGCCCAGAGTACATCAAGTACTTCAGTGACAAGACCATAGACGTGAGTGTCCACTGTGCCGTACGCAGACGTCTTGTGCTGTGGCCTCGGGAACGGTTAGCAGAAACTAGCTGGTGTAGCTCAGTGGTTTTGATTAACTCGGGCCGTCAGCCAGCTAAGCCGATGCCTTCTGGTCCCGTGTGGGTTGCAGGAGGAGCTGGAGAAGGACAGCCGTGTGACATGGATCGTGGAGTTCTTCGCCAACTGGTCCCCCGAGTGCCAGTCCTTCGCCTCCGTCTTTGCAGACCTCTCACTCAAGTACAGACTCCATGCATGACATTTGCATATGTACACCTCCCCCAGGCTTTGTATGTACATAGGTGCCACTGTGTGAGTCCCAGCAAAACACCATGTCACTGTTTGGAAGACTTTTACAGTAAGCGTAGAAACCAGCAGATTCAGCTCTGCAGGAGTAATCCTGTGACGTGTCTACAACTTTCCCATAGGTACAACTGTGCTGGACTCAAATTTGGAAAGTTGGATATTGGCCGATATGGGGAAGTATCCAATAAGTAAGTCTTATTTGTAAGTCTTTCCTAACCCCGCCCCTGTCTCTGCAGACATCTTTGAGCGGTATTGTGCTCTGCTGAAGTAATTCCCTCTTAAATTTACCGCCTTTCTAGGTACAAGGTGAGCACCTCTCCCCTCTCCAAGCAGCTCCCCACAGTGGTGCTCTTCCAGGGGGGGAAGGAGGTCTTCAGGCGGCCTCAGATTGATAAAAAAGGAAGAGCAGTGTCTTGGAGCTTCACAGAGGTAAGGAAGAGGAGGCCGGTGAATGTCGTCATTTATCGCTGCATATCCTCAAGCCACCATACACCTAGTATGAAATGTAGTATTTTATGCCCGACCTTCGCTGAGATGGTTTCATCTGCTGAATTCCTATGAAGCCAGTTTTCTTCCATTCTTTGACTATACTAAGTGTTAAAAATGAAGGCTGTGCCAACTACTGATCCATTCGGGGGCCTTATTCTTGTGTGGTGCTTTTTGTGGCATTCAGCTGCACTGCCCACACCAGTATTAATGTCTTTATAGGATGTTCCCTTCTGTGGTAATTTGACTCGTCTTTGCTGCCTGTAGGAGAATATAATCAGAGAGTTTAACCTCAACGAGCTCTACCAGAAATCCAAGAAGCTCTCTAAGGTGAGGGGAGAGAAATCTGTGGAGTCTGAGATTCCACCGGTGCAAGAAGAGAATGAGGCAGAGATGGAGATCCAGGAGAGCAAGAAAGATAAATAGGTGAACACTGGAGACTGCACCATGTCCTATTGAATGTGACATCGCAGTGGGACTGGATAGAATGGGGATTGAGGGGAATTAGGTTCAAGTCTAAAACACAATGCGATTTTAAGACAATTCTTAGCTGCACTGTACTATTGTAATTTCCTTAATAGCTTAATTGTAAATCACTAATTTCTTTGTGTATTACTCTAAAACATTAACTTGCATGACTGTAATTACTGATCCAAAATCGTTGTAAGCAATCCTCTCTCCATGTCCAGTCCCTTGTTAGGTCCATCGTAGCTGTTCTGCACTGTGTGCCTGTTCTGGGTTTTTTGTGGGGGAGGGGAAAAAAAAACTCCAGTTATACGGAGACTCATTCCTAGAGGAGTATTTATACAGTGAAGTTGCTAAAGAAGTCTTACTACTAAAGGGTTTGGTTTGTATTGTAGCAGTTATGACTATTAATTATTTAATCTTTTGTAATTATTTAATCTTAAGTAACTAAAGCAGGTACTATCCAATACACACTGCTAATGTTTGAGGGATGAGTTCATTTGGCAATACTGTCATTTTCCTTTTTTTTGGGTGGCTAATCCTGTACTGCTTCACAATTGTCCAGTGATTTCAATCAGGTGCACAGCCTCCCTACAGCTGAGAAGGCATAAGCTACATTCTGTAACCTCATGTTCACACACATTGATTTATCCTGTAATATTACAATGATGGTCCTTAAGGAACACTCCCAAAAATCAGTATTTGGTACGGATTGGTCACTCCTTACTCCTGTTACAGTGTAATGAGCATGATTTTGTCATGCATACTCCCTGGTATTGGGTCATCAAACCTTTGTGGCTATAGAGCAATTGTATAGGACCCTACACTACTGTATGACATGAGGTACCATGAGAATTTTTACTTCATATTAAATTATTACACCATAAGGTCCTTGTCAGGAATCTTTAAAATAAAAAGGCATAAACAAATGGCAGGGTCTGCAAAACGTGTCTTCATAAGCGATAAGCAGCTAGCAAAACTGTGTAGTTCTGGTTCCTTCATATCTTGGTTCATAGAATTTTTGCACTTAAGTTTCTACTGTATTTGCACTCCATACACAATTGGTCATGACTTTATTAATAATCTTTAATACTCTTTGTAAGGCAGATTGTCTTGGTCATTTACTTGGACCACCTCCAAAGACTGTTATGAATGTTTAAAACCAAATATTTAGACATTTTGGCCAGACATTCCCTGAAATGTCAACTCCATCGCACACATCCCTGGCCCAAAGGCCTATGCAGTACCAGTTCACCCTGTGGACCGTGTCATGTGGTTGACCCACAGACAGGTTCTGTAGTGGTGGAAAATGAGGGATCCCTTCGCTTTGTGGAGTCCAGCACGCATCTTTGGCTTAGACAGGCTTGCAAAACCAACAAGTGCTGATAGTACAATGTGACATGTGGCCCACTGTGTGTACACACACACACAAATTATTAGGGCTGCTAAAAACAGCTCAAATCTGATACAGAATTGGGTGCCATTAAAAAAAGACCTAACAGAAAAGTGTTCTCTTTGAAACATGAACCCTTGAGTGGCCATATGAAAAACATAAGGTAATATTGTGGAAAGACATCATACAATGCATATATGTAACAAGATAAATTTGTTTGAAACAATGTATACATTTAATAAGTGTAACGTGTCAATGAGTTGAGCTTCCTTGCAATCAAATGACCCGAGAAATTGAAACATTGCAGAGATTATGCAATTGTGTTTATTTCCAAGGATTTATTGTGTTGCTCAGCCAATGTCTTCCTCACTCACTCTTGCTCATTCACATCTCTTTATGAAAACACCTGCATGTGTGCTGCCCATTAAAATACCCTCTACGAAGCCATTAACCAGTTTGGTTGGTTAGTTGGTTGTCATACCCTTGAAACATTCACTCGGGCAACAGGCTGCTGTGCATCTTGCCACTATCAAGCTTCCGTCAGTAACAGGGAAATCCTAACTGTGGATAACAAGGATGATTGGCAAAACATTGAAACGTTAACCCATCAGAATTAAAAAAAAAAAAAAAAAAGCTTTTTGGTTCCTTTTTGGTCTCTTGTTAAGTTGCGATACCTAGTGCCAGATTTAAAGCTTCAACAGCTCGGTATAGTTTTTACAAGATAATTTGCCTACTAATTTCGGCCGATTTTCTTCCCGATCAGCCATCTAGCCACCCTTAAAGACAGAAAAAGGAATTCTGGCTAATGTTGAGCGAAAACGTCGCGAACACCAAATACATGAATTTTACGCTACAAGAGACAACTTGCATACAATAATCCTTGATTTCAACATTATTCTCCGCAAAGTTATTGTGGCTGCTGTATTTCTATATGGCTTAACCCGCGATATCGGAGGAAGCCCCTGATCATCCAGCCATCTTTGGGTAATAAATCCATTCGAATCTGACTGATGCAACAAGTGACGGACACGAGCGACCCGCTGAGAACTCGCTACATGACTCATGACCTGCCTGGAATGTCTCCGGCCGGCTCGACCGGCCGACACCCCTGTGGTGTTCATTTATGATAAAAACAAAATTAAAACGGGGAATTAAAAAATTTCTGTGGAGTCTAAAGAAACTTCTCAGGTCAGCAAAAAAAACCCAAATGTCTTCCATTGTCTTCGTGTCACTGCTCCACATCTCTGCTGAAGCCAAGTCAGTGGTTCAGATGGCAGTAAATGGTCTCAAGGCAGCGACAGCAGTGAGCGGATCCTGCGTTGAGGTCTCATTAGCTATGCCTGTATTGCCACTTGGTCGAGAGCAAAGTTACGTCCGTGCAGAGATTACATAAGAATTACTAATATAGCTTTATAATAAAATGTATGTATATATTCAATATTTCTCTGTGAAATACCAGCTATCTCAAAAAAAAATAAAAAATAAAAAATTGCTGCATCCAGTCACTGGTTGAGTATCCATTAACCATTGGTCACTGATCTTCAGGTCTCCGCCTTCATATGCAAAATCAAGGTGGTTCTAAAAAAGTTTCAGCAAATGAACTTGTAAATGTCTATGAACCACAGGACTTTTAAAACATGAAAACAGCAGGGTAGCCCACTGGCCATGATTCCACCTTTTACCTGTTGAAAAGGTTCCATTGCATATGCTGCAAGGCGAAGCTGATTTTCCTCAATTCCAGAGTAAATCCATTTTCTTGCAACTGTTGAAAAAGCTGTCTTTGACTTATACTGAAATCTCATAGGTGGTCCCGCCAACGCCAGTAACCTTCTTCACTCCTCCCCCCTGTTTGTGGGTGGGGCTAAGTGGAGGAGAAGCACTGTGATTGGCTGGTCCTGGTCTGCCGGAGGAGCTGATTGAATGAGAAGGAGGTGGTGGTGGTGGGAGATGAGGGTGAGCAGATCTGGGGTGTCCATTTGACCGACTAAAAGACTTCATCTGAATCTCGTCCCTGGAAGAGGAGGAGACATGGAGGAATGAAAAAGGTGGGTGAGGGAATGAAGACAGAAAGAGAAGGACATGGGACATTAGTGCAACAAGCAAACGGGAGTAATTATATATAGTAATGGCAGTACACAGAATACGGAGCACATACTGCAAGAAGTACCAATATGTAGCAGTATCTCGAACATTTACTACAAAGTAATTCTGTTCAGAAAATCACAAATAAGGGCTGAAAAAAATAATCTCATCTGTGTGCCTAATGAAGATGAGGGTAGAGGTCAATGAATTCAATTCATACTTTGAAATTAATAGACAGGAAATAACCAACAAGCCTAAAATAACGAGAGCTGGAGGATCTGCGGTAGTTATCAAAAAGTCCTTTGGACCAGGTTTACGGTTAAAAAAAAAAGTTACGCTATGCAGTCTCAAAAGTGGACCTACACTCACATTCATTATTTACACAACCCAATGTACAAGCACAGAGAGCAAATGAGAGTTCAAAAGAAAAAGTATGTAACAAATCACAAGTAACAGTCAGACAACATAAAACAGAGGGAATTCGGATTTCATGTCCAGCAGTAAAATAAGCAAACGTCAAATCAAAAACGCCCAGCCGCAAATTAGAGAAAATATGGCTCTATGTTAAAAAAAAATTCCTGGCTGTACAAGAAACAAACAAAAAAACAGCTGTAGAACACAACTGACATTGTTATTCAATCAGAGCACAGAAAACGTTAAGAAGCCAGCGAGTGTTAGGAATGTCAGCCTGAAGCCAGAGCAGTTCAAACGCAGCAGCAGCCGAAAGGCTCGCAGTGCACAGGAGCTCGAGCTGCAGCCAGTGCAAGTGCACAGCCAAACTGCAGCCATGGTGACTATCACAGTAACAAAGAGAAGAGAAAAGGAGGAAACACTCACAGAAAAGTGGGGAGAAGAAGCTGAGGCTGCAGAGAACAGTACTCACTTTGGAGCCTTAATCCCACTACCGCTGCCGGTGACCCCCCCAGAGGCCTTCCTGCCCCTGGGGAGCGGCCCCTCCTGACACGCGGCAGCGCTGCCCTCCGGAGGCCGCGAGCGGTACTGCAGCTCAGTGCCGGCACTAGTGTAGGAGAGCGACTTGCCTATGGGGGGGTGTGAAGGACTGGTGGGGGGGGCTGATGGAGAAGCGGGGGCCTGCGGAGCGTCCGGGGATCCCAAGGAGCGAGTGCGACAGGAGAGAGGCGGCGGCGGCGGCGGGTCGGACAGGAGCGGGGTGCGGGAGAAGCGGGGGGGGCGAGGGTGGTGCGGTGGCTGTGCTGGCTGGTGGGAGTCCAGCAGTAAGTGCTCCCTCTCGGTGGAGGGGGGGCTGGAGGCACGAGCGTAGTGCTTCTGGGGGGAAGAGAGAAGGGCGACAGAGGCCTGGTGTAGCTCAGACTCACGCTGCTGAGCCGACAGGAAGGGTGAGCTATAGCCCAGCATCTGTGGGGGGGCGCTGGGCGGAGACAGCTCTGGGGCCGCGGACTCAAACTCCGGGCTCTCGGACGGAGTCAGCAGACTATCGTATGAGAGGCTCCCGTTGCGGGGCGTCTGGTTAGCCAGGCTTTTGTAGCTCGTGGAGGTGGTGCCCTCGGAGTGCAGCGTGCCCAGTGCATTGTGGGCTGTGTGGGTGGAGCGCAGGCTGGAGGAGCGCGAGGCCCCGCCCGACAGCACCATGGGGTCCGTGAAAGACGGGTAGGAGCGCCCCCCCAAGGAGTAGCCCGACATGGCAGAGCTAGGAACGCTGCTCATCCCCCCAGAGCCTCCGCCACCCCTCTCCCTGTCGCCCCGTTCCCGGTGCCCCGCCCTCCCGTCCAGACTGGGCTCCGAGCGGTAGCTGGGCTGCTGGCTCGACTGCAGGATAGACGGAGGCTCCTGCAGACTGTCCCCTCGATTCATCTGAGGGGGTTGCCAGGGTGTGGATGGGGGGGGGGGGGGGGGGGGGGACCCCCCGGCGGGGGGGGGGGGGGGGGGGGGGGGGGGGTGCTAACTGCATGATAACTACACAAACACTGCAGGGGGGAGGCATTCAAATGAGCTTTCCAAGGCTGTGCGTCTGGGTTTGTCTGAGTCTAGGGGAGGCTGTAAATACCAGTAAATATTAGCAGGTAAATCTACCGACATTTGTCTGGTCACAGGAAACATCCAACAGTCATACGACAAACAGCTATTATGTACACAGTCGATATTACAAATATGTAAATTACAAAATGTGCACTACACTAAAAAGGAAGGATTTACAAAGGGGTCCATTTCAATGGTCCATCAAATGGTCGAAAAAAATTAGACGAAACCAGTAACTGAAGGATTTTAAGGAGTGTCAGATGTTGGCCTAGTTTTAGCTGCACATAAATGGAACAAACTATAGAAAGAGGGAGCGAGGGAGCGGGAAAGAGAGGGAAAGTTAGCAATCTTGTGTCCGCCAGCCAAGTGGACAGCACTGCAGCGGGGCAGCCCACGGCTAAGGAGGCAAACATGACCTGCAGAGATCAGGATGGCCGAATCCATGCAAACGGCCCGTGTGCACCTAACGCGGGGCAATCCGGGCGGGTGTGTCAGGCTATCGGGGTTTGGATAAGCTCGGCGATAAGGAATAATCAGGCGCTTCACACATGTCCACCAGCGCGCCAACGGGGTACTCACGTGAAGCAGAAGAAGAGCGTGGTGGCCCCCACCAGGAAGGCCGTGGCTGCTGCCACAGGGACGTAGCGGCTCGGCCGTAGCGGGCGGGACAGGGAGGACTTGGGAGATGACGAGGGTCCGCCGGCACCCCCGCTTTTATCAACACTGGGCATCACTAACAGGGCGGGCACACAAACCCAGGTCCAAAAAAACAAAAAAGGAGGGAATATTTGGGTGGAGGTCAAAAACAGAGGCTATTAAAGGGGTGGAGAAAAGAAACAGCTGGGGATGGGTGGGAGGGGGACAAACAGGATAACAGACTAAAATAAATTCTCGG